GTATCATCGCCTCGGACAATAAAATGTGCATCGATAAATTATTGACCACCTAAGATGAAAAATTAGATTGACGTCATCCAGGCGCTATTAAAGTCGATGACAATAGTATGGAATTCCTTAATTTCAAGTGCAAGAGGATAAAATTAATAAAAATAATAAAAACTGCATCTAGATTGAATTAATAATTAATTATATACTTTTATAATCTTTATATTATTTACCTTATTCTTTTCATATTGATCCTTGCCAAATCATTATACTTTCTCCATAACATTACATTGTGTCTTTATTCCGGTCTGGCTTCTGATAAATCGTCTTATCGGGGTTTTACTGTATATTATCAATTACTTTTCTAGTTAAGTTTCCTCCGCGGTTAGTCACAATTAGTTAGAAATATCCTTCGAGCTAATCCAAACAAATTAAACAGCAAAAATAAACTCGAAGCCTAAACGATTATATTTTAGCAGCCGCTTTTAATTGCAAACAAAATAAACCTTCTTGCCATTTTAACTGTAACAATTGTAATAATATAGAACTTTGTACGAAAGGACAAAACCATCAAAAACGACGATTGACGACGATCCTTGAAACGGACATTAAAAGTCACTGTGTTTACAATTATTGGCGACCATGAACCTGCTTTTTGTAAACACTGATTTGTAAAATTAGTTGCTCAATATAGTACAGATGAATAACGAGTAAAACTGATTTGGATTGCAGTAGGAAATTATTTTATGCAGGCAAAAATATTGGCAAAAATTAATGAATTAATGAAAATGATTAAATTGACGATAATAAGTGAATTTATAAAAATGAATAAATTGATGAATGTGAATAAATGAATGAAAATGAATGAATGCATGAAATCGATAAAGATGAATAAATTGGATGATAACGAATAAATTGATGAAAATGAATAAATTGATGAAAATAAATAAGTTTATGAAAATGATTAAATTGATGAAAACGAGTAAATTTATGAAAATGAGTAAATTGAAGAAAATGAGTAAATAGTCGAAAATGATTAATCAGGTGAATGTAAATCAACTAATGAAAATGAATAAATGTATGAAAATTAATAATTTGATGAAAATGAGTAAATGGAAGAAAATGAGTAAATAGACGAAAATGATTAATAGACGAAAATGTTTAAATATACGAAAATGAATATATTGATGAAAATTAATAAATGAATGAAATAGATAATTATGAATAAATGGATGATAACAAATAAGTTGATGAAATTGATTCGATCGATGAAAATGAGTGAAATGATTATATAGATGAAAATGAATAAATTGATAAAAATGACTAAATATACGAAAATTATGAAATTGATGAAAATTTATAAATGGATGAAATAAAAATAAATAAATAATAACAAAAAAATAGATGAAAATGAATAAATCGATGGAAACAAATAAATAAGCAAAAATGTTTAAATAAATGGGTCATTGTTAATAAATTTAATGATTATTAGAGCGTTTGCAGATTTATCTTTTCATACATCATGGTACAATTCCTCATGTTCCATCGAGCATCGGTGGTTCAGTGGTAGAATGCTCGCCTGCCACGCGGGCGGCCCGGGTTCGATTCCCGGCCGATGCAACTCTTTTATTTTTTTTAAATTTATTTTTTAATGAATTCACATACCTTTTCAGATTTCTTTAATATGCATTGAGGAACTGGCCACCGACCTTGTTATGAGAATATAAAAGACTTCATTATCGTTGGAATTATCATTATTAATAGTTTTTCAATTTAATTCATCAAACAGATGATAAATATGATAATGAATATTTCACGGTTCATTTTTTATTAAATTTTAGTTATTAACCACCTATTGCTACTTCATGTTTATTAACAAAAATTCAAACTAAACATATAAAACGGTGTTACACGATCTATTTTATTTATTACATTTCCAAAACGATATTAACATTCGTTTTTCCTCCGTTACAATTAATCATGTATTTTTAATGAAACGTCCTCACGGTTTAATTGCCCTTTCTGAATATGGCACACAGGTGCTTATAAATAACGCCGTTTCTATATTTAATTTTATTTTCCACGCTCGTGGGGTAGTATTGAGTTTATTCATGTCTAGAACAAACTACAAAATAGACCTAGATACGAACTGAATTATCCAGGGCGGGCGGTGAGGACGATACAGATGCAGATACAGATTATTATTTTAATTTATAATATAATTATTAATAATAATTTATAAAAATTTATTAATTATAAATTAATTATTAATAAATAATTATTAATAAATATATATATATATATATATAAATATAATATTTATAAATTAAAATATAATTTATAATATAATTATTTTCAATAATTATATTTTAATTTTTTAAGAAACACGTACAAAGATATCTAATTTAATTCTATGTTATGTTCCATTACAAATGTTATAAATAGAAGTACAGTTACTACCCTTAAGAACCTCCCCGACAATCAACTGCACTATTAATTACGTTACGAGCCCCTTTCGTTACATCATCAGATAACACGTAACTTGAAATACGATCACGAGTAGAGTATAATGAGTTTTTATTGTCGTCGAGAGAAAAATTTATAAGTTTTATTATTGTGTAATAATAAATCATGAATATGTATCTTTAGTGGAATTATTCTATAAAATTGTACTTAAAACTTTCTTATCCGAGGCGGTGTTTGAGAACCTTTATTGACCAAAACACAATTTAGCTAAAAATAAATAGTAGTGCATGGCATCGTGCATTAAACTTCAAAATTAGAAAAAAAAATTTTTTTTTTTGAGAATTTTAAGATTTTTGAAATAAATTGACTTTTTCGAAAAATCATATTTAATGTTTTTTTTTTAATTTAGAATTTTTTCTCAATTTCGAAGCGCCTAAGCGCTGTATCGCTGTCTGTATCATTTATACTTACTATCAAATTATCTATAAAATATCTGATAATTTGAAGTGTATATGTCTAATGATCATTTTTGACCGCCAAATGGCTTTTGATTTCCGAAACTGCTAGATTTTCCTTTCAAAAAATTTAGTCAGTTCTTCATTTCGTTATTACAAGTAAAATGTTTTTTGATTTATTAAAATCGGACGCTCCGTTTTCTCAAAAACAGCAGGACCAACTTTTGCCAAAAACTAATCAGCACGTCTTCTTATCAATAGGAATCGAATGTTTTTTTAATCATTCAAATGGTGTTCTCTAAGCAGCCGACGAAAAATTGTATCCGCCCACATACACACGCGTACACACACACACGCGTACACACACACACACGTACACACACACATACACAAACACGTCAATTTTTTTCTCAGATTTGCCTAAATGTTCAGAAACCTTTGAAACGTAAAGATATATAAAAAATTTTATTTCCCATTTTTTTTGCGATTACTAACTTATTTATATACGGGAAGTTAAAAATCGGAAAAACCTTAAAAGATTCAACTTTTGATTCTGAATTTAACTAAATGTTGGCGCGAAGTCGAACTAATGTTATTTTAAGGGAGGTTAGTTTCGAGCATTTGACACAGTGTCAAAAATGTAAATAATTTAAATAATAAATTTATTTCCAAAATAAAAAGTAATTCTGCATCGGCCGGGAATCGAACCCGGGCCGCCCGCGTGGCAGGCGAGCATTCTACCACTGAACCACCGATGCTTCGACGTCTTCTAGTTCTTTTGCAAATGCATTTCTGCAAATCCTCTTACTGTCCACTTCTTGCATTCGATTGCACTTTCACATCGTCTGCGGCATCTGATGCACCTTGCATCCAGTGCAACCCGACTTGCATCCGAGTATCAGTTTACCATTAAATCAGTTATTGGTTAATCATCTGACCCAGTATTTATTCAATAGTATTCAGCTAATATATTTTGATATAATCAATATTTTTCTCGTCCACGTACCGTTTGAATTTGCTGGTGCTCTGCGTGCTCGACTTCGGTTCGCCTTCATTAATATAAATCGAATTAGTTCCTAACCAACCCTAATAAAAAGTTTTTCCTTCATCGCACGAACGAACCATCTTTTATATGTACTTTTAGCTGCTACTTATCGACTTACGAAGTCGCAAAAAAATAGGAAAATACAAATTAGTTATATCTTAAAAGATACCTTAAATTATTTTATAAAACTAGTCGGTATTGGTATTTTGCCTTTGCAAGTTACATGGACTTCCCGATATGTGTAAATAATCGACTTAATCAATAAAAAATAAATTAATTTATGAGTGATTAAGTATTCCGAGAGAATTTATTACACATTTATACGAGCAAACACGGAGCATTTTCTAAAAGCAAATTTTTACAAATCCACGATTTTTATAATTGTACCAGTTTCCGTAGGACTTTAAATGTGTATTACAGTAATGTCAGAACGGATTAATGTGGTGTAATTGATTCGGGTTGAATTCTGAAAGGGTATTTAGCAGATGTTAATTAACAAATCATCAATTAGGAGACCACACTCTCGGCTCGCATACAATCTGGGACACGATCACACCATTAATCAACATAATCAAGTGCCTATGAAATTATACTTGTATATATATATATATATATATATATATATATATATATATATATATATATATATAAATTCTAGATGACCTGACAAACGTTGTCCTGTACTCACGCCTAGAATTTTTTAATATCCTATACTACTATCTACAGTTTTTTAAATTACTCTTCATACCAAATGCATATATGTACATCAATATGAGCGATGTTAAATGTTGAACTGCTTTAAATAAAATGATCAATCTCAATTCCCACACTATATTGGAAATTGAAGTCTTTTAAACGGTATAACAAATTCAGAAAAAATTACACTTGTAAAGTACAATATCACACTTGATTTTACCACCCAAAAGAATTGCTTCAATAATGTTGCTTATAATTTTTATAATCTCGTATCATATTTTTACTGGTTGTTAGTAATTGTAATATCTAAATTGCATTTTTCTTAATAATAATTTAATATACATTATTACCAGAGACACTTCTGAGGTCGTCAGCGCCCCCATTATTATCGTTAATTAATATTTGGCATTTGAAACATTTTACTTATTTATTTTGGTCATTTTATGCGATTTATTCCATTGAGCAAATCATAAAGAAAAGCAAAAAATTCTAGTCTTTCATTATTAAACATAACCATAACATAACATTAGTACTTCATGTTGGATTATTTTAATTTAATTTTTTATTATTTAAGATATCCAAAATTGCATCTTAAACTTCTAGTAATTGATATCGTAAGGGCCAACTTGTATGTATTCATCTTTACGTTCCCATTTGTTGTTTTAAAGAAATTTTTAACGAATTTTAAAAATATTGTGCAAAGATTAGTAAAAGATGCAAAGAAATTATATATTTCTTGAAATCTTTTGAAAAAAAAACTATATTGAAAATTTCATATCCGAATCTTGTATTGGCGCCCCTAAGGCCGTTCAAGGTAGGACCGGTCCTGATTATTACTGAATTTCATAATTTAATTGAATTAATTTGTCAAATCCTGTTCATATGTGTATCATTCAATCTGCCATACATATACTGTATCTGATATTATTTTAATAGTTGGCACATTTCAGCTGCTTTTTGGCAATAATAATGTAGACATTTCATATTTTCTAGACTCATAAGCAAATTTTTGGCAGATGACGGTTTTCATTTGTTTTTAATGCCAAACAATGTCTCAAATGACATGTCATTTCTTGCATGTTTTTTCTCTTTATTTCTACAATATTAATACATTTGATAATCACATACATCCTGAAAAAATCCGTTAACAAACTTCAGAAAGATTTATCAAAATTTGAACAATCGTATACAAGAAGTATATTTACATACATCATTACAGAGAATTTTACATATAATATATATAGGAAATCGGAGTTTCTGGCGAAAACATAAATTTCTCCTTCGGAAAATTCATAAACAGTGTATGTCTGTGTATTCCTGTGTATGTATCCATATATTTTAATATTAAAGTAGCGTTTATAGAAATGATTGAGCCGTGATCGCAGTTAATGGCGGAAAGGCACGAAATGTCGGCAGCGAATATAACAAATGTGGCCTGACTTGGCCCTGCACGTACAACCATAGTTTTCCTTCCATTTTCCTATTTTTTTTTTGTTCGTTATCTGTCTGTGTCAATGTCGTGAAAGTATTTCCTTAATCGAATCGAACTTTCCTGGTAATTCGTAAATGTCAGAGAAAAAAAACTCGAATGGGGTCTTTTAATGTATTACATGTTGAGAGAGAGGAATATTAGCACGGGAAAAATATACAAACATTCGCGAGCAGAAGGAAAAAGTGCATCGAAGTTTAAATTAAATGGAGGATGAAATGGATAGAAAGTAATAAAGAAAAATTGTAGATTATTTAGAATAATATATACTGATGGGGTTGTTCTTGATCTCTTGCAGCTTATTTTTTACCTTGTTTAATCTAAGATCAACTTGCTAAATATTCCAAATCCAATGCCAAACAAATAAATTGTTGACACATGAAACAAAATTCAAAATCATTTTTTCAATAAGTATAAATATTTTTTTGTTTTGTTAAATAATTTGTAAAGTAAACCAAAATGCAACATTTATAAGTTTAAATATATAATGTATATGCAATTCTGGACTTTTTGCGTTATTTATTAAACTGAATTATATAATCTCATCTGCCAAACATATACTGTTGACTGCATATTATATTATTTTAATTTCTGACACATCTCAGCTGCTTTTCGGCAATAATAATGTAGACATTGCATTTTTCTTATATATTATATTCTAATATCATCTAGGCTCATAATTTCAGCTAAATTCAAATGTCAATGATAAGGTTTTTTTTGAAATTTTTGCCATTTGTTTCTACAATATTACTATAGTTTTATCGTTCATTAAATCTTAAAAATTTGCTTTGACAAACTCTAAAAAGAATTCGAATAGTCGTTTAGGAGGAGTATCAAATCATACACCATATATATATATATATATATATGTATATATATATATATATATATATATAATACATGTATATATATCTAGATCTGATCCATCATCCCTGTTTATATCACGAAAACGGATCCCTTTGTGGTAAAACTATTTGTTACATCAGCTATCAGACTTTGTGACTGATTCATTAACTTGATTCATATAATCTTCTAAATTATATCAGAACAAAGTACTAAAAAAAATTAACAATAAATTTCGTCCAAACTACTCGAAAAGTATTGATCACATTGGGGTCATTTTGTAAAAGTATATGTAGTATTTTTTTAAAGTAACACGTGGCATATGAATATAATAGTTGAGTATAATAATAGTTATAAAAATCAAAAAGCACCAAATGATTGAATTAAACATATTACCATATGTCTGATAAAGACTGATAAAAAAACTTGATGAAATTCCAAGAATTTTTGAAGAAAATTTTCTTGAAACTTTTTCAATGCAAAAATTTAGAAGAAGGTGTAGTAAAAGAGACAGTAAAGTGAAAAATATCCTTCTTATTTAGACTTTTGTTTTAATCGATTAACAATTAATTGATCACCTTTTCAACTTTATACATTTGAAGGTTTAATCGTCAATTTAATATTGCCAACTATCTATTTACCACTTCTAATGATTTTTTTTAAAGCAATCAAAAGACAGTAACATCTAATTATAAGCTATACTAACGTGGAAAAAAAATGTATGTTAAAACAGATAATTATAATCTAGTGGATTTCACACAATGGAGTTATAACACATTAATCATATTTAATATAAAAAATTACATAATTTTCACAAAAAATATAATTTCTTTGACACGTTTTATTCGATGTTTCAAAGCGTTTTCGTTGAAAGAATGAATGAACCTATATTTAGTCGAAACAAAAAGCGTCCCGTCTATTTTTAGAAGCCACAACAAAGGATCGCCCGAAATTCGTTAAATACTTAATTTCCTTTGAATTATTTAATCGAAATGTTACCAACATACTTTTTTCTTTATTCTTTTTGCGTTTGTAATTACGTGGATTATGAAAGTCTCGAATAGGGGAGACCGGAGAGATAAGAAGATAAATTAGATATGAAGGAAAGCATATAGAATATTTGCTAAAAACTAATCAACTAGTGTACATACGCTTTTTTATTTTTTACTATATTGAGGGGATCCTGCTTTAGAGGCTTTTTGCAAAATGTCTTCCCAAACTATTCTAGAATATATCTAAAAATTTCAGAAACAAATTTTTGGCTTCGGCAAAATGTTTGTACACGGCATATTACGAGACATATTTTAATAAAAAAAAATTAAAAAATATTGAAATACATAACAATAAAACCTAAAAGTTTCGTTGCAATTAAATATTTATTTCCTTCCCTAAAAATTCCTAAAAAAATAGATTTTTTGAAGCTTCTAAAGCAGGCTTCCCCATTAAAGGCATGGACTAAAAATTTGAATTACTTTAGAAATTTATACTCAAATCTAGACTAAATGACGTCAGAAATTTAGACTAAAATCTAGACTAAATTACTTTAGAAATTTATACTCAAATCTAGACACAGTTTGTTGAATTCATTGCATTTTTGAAAAAAAAATTAAACAAAAAAAATTTTTTTTCAAAGGCAATTATTTTGTTAAAATAAGCAGAAAGTTTTTTGAATCATTAAAATCGGACGCTTAGTTCTCTCAAAAACTGCCATTTTCTGCACATTTAGCTTAGTATCTTCGAAATGGCTGGACCTGTATTTGTCAAAAACTAATCACCTCTTCTCCCAATCATTACAAATTAAATGTTTTTAATTCATTCTAATAGGATACTCCGTTCTCTCAAAAACTCGATTTGTATTTTCTGCACTTTTTGCTTCGTATCTCCGTAACGGCTTGACCTGCCTTTGCCAAAAACTAATCAGCACATCTCCCTATCAACAGGAATCGAATGTTTTTTGAACCATTCACTCGGTCGATTTGTGCGCACGAAAACGTGAACGAAAAAATGCGTACATACAAAACACACACATAAACACACATCTATTTTTTCTGAGGTATGCCAAAAAATGTTCAGAAAACTTCAAAACGTGGAGACATGCAAAAATTTTCATTTTCGATTTTCGGTCCATTACTATAACTACCCTACGGGAAGTTAATAATATAAAAATGTTATCTACCACATTTCATCGATCTTCTATCTTTTTTTTAGGTTTCTGCCTCACCACCGGCCCAACATCATCCGAAACGTCTCAATCGCCGCCCCTTTCATCGGCAGCCCCTCAGCCTCTTTCTTCGAGCACCTCGACGACGGTCCCATCGGCAGTGGCGGCGGCGGCGGAAGCCCCCCAACAACAACTGGACGTGCTGAACGCCTTGGGTCTCAGGGACTCCGTACATCGAGGGGTGACCCTGACCACTGGACCTCCGGGAGGACAACCCCATCCGGCTTACAGGTTGCAAGGTGAGAGGCAAAGATAGATAATGGTATATATAAAATTCTTCTGTAATGATGTATGTAAATATACTCCTTCTGAACGATTACTCGGATTTTGATAAATCTTTCTGAAGTTTGTTAAGGGAATTTTTTAGGATGTATGAGATTATGAAAATATTGTAATGTTGTAGAAATAAATGGAAAAAATTGCAAAAAACGACATGTCATTGTTTGACATTGAAAACATTTAAGGCATTGAAAACAAATGAAAACTGTCATATGCCAAAAATTTTAATTTACTTATGACTATAGACAATATTAGAGTATTTATAATAAATATATAATTATTAATAAGAAAAATGCAATGTCTACATTATTATTGCCAAAAAGCAGCTGAGATGTGTCAGAAATTAAAATAATACAAGATACAGTATATGTATGGCAGATTGAATGATACACATATGAACAGGATTTGGCAAATTAATTCACTTAAAATATGAAATTAAGTAATAATCAGAGCCGGATTGAATGCGGAAAATACTTAAGTGGCACTAAAACAAGATTCGGATATGAAATCTTCAATATAGAATTTTTTCAATACAATTCAAGAAATATATA